TACTTGATACTGGAACAACGGTAGTTCAGTCGTGTGACTAGGGTAGCCGTTCCTGTTACCTTCAATCTTTCACCATGCTGCTTGGTATAGATTCATGTCTGGTGCCCTGCACACCTAGGTGTCAATAAAGTCACTGAGTATAGTTCGGAATCTTCTTTAATATATCAGCCCTTCCAATACACCCATACAAGCCTTCGACTGCATGTTGGACACTGGACATGCAGGAGTGGGGCAGTAAGTAAGTGGGTGAATGATATGGTATTACGCCACTTTAAGCAATACTCCAGCACGATCAGGCCGGGGGACACCAGAAATGGCTTTACACATGGTACCTACGTGAGGAATCGAACCCGGGCCTTCGGCGTGACGAGCGAATGCTTTAACCGCTAGACTACCTACGATTTCCTTCGAGACGACGCACGTCCAAGGGTCCCGAAGGAATCTATGGTGGGCATACATATATAATTCCCTCGCATTTCTATTCAACTGTGGCTATATGTAGCATCATTACCTGATACATTACATGTCAGTAAAGACTTGTCGATGTGTTAGTTTCAGTAAAAACATTCTGATTAGCTGAACTGATCACGTGTTATTGCATTCATTGCCTAATATATGTAAGAAATGAAGCCACGCCCATCCCGTGGACTACTTTCACCACAACAGACTGTCGGCGAATCCTGATGACAGTCGGGGATATGGAGCACTAATAATGCACAGTCAGGATCGTCAAACCACCTTTGGTGATTAGAAGCTGAAAGCAAACGCGCAGGTTCACTCTCGTGTTTCTTTATCTCCCGCCTGGGTTGATGTCATCTGTTGACTGACCACTGTTAAACAGAAATTAAACAACAACCAGATTCCTTTCACGCCAAGATGTACACTCCTATATCAGACTCGTCGTTTCTACACATTCCATATTGCACGTATATCACATTCCATATTGCACGTATATCAAGCTGGAGGTATATTTTGGACGTACATTTTTATAGGATCTGAAAAAGCGGGAACCTTGACACTGATCCACCTAGAAAACGGCGCTTAAACTATCGAATTACCTATCTCATAGTGTAAATGTAACTGGATCGTCCAAACTGGGTTAAAAGACACTAGTAAGTGTTGTGTTAGATGTCAGTACGCTTTACAAACAGCACGTCTCCATGTACTTTCTCTGCCCCTATTTGAACGACATGCATATATACAATTCAAAACAAGAAACGCACAGGCGTTTTCAGCAGTTAATTTCGATATGTTTTGACAGCAATCGTCATTAAGGCAATTCCTATGTTTGAATCCCCTTAATGATGTCGTGGTAGTTGTGTATTGCTGCGCAAACGCATCCCAAAATGTGTTTGTAAAAGTTTGTCATAAAAACTGAAAACTACATGCAGAAAAACTTTTCCACATAATGCACGTGCAATGTGTTCGAAACATGAGTGGAGACATCGACTAACGTAAACGAAGATAAAAAAATGCAAAGACTGAATGCTACTGACCGAAATATCGCCATTGGACGTTTGGAAGCAGGGGAGTCCCAGTCTGCACCATATCTCGATTATGGCATCGATATACCCACTTCAGTTCGACCCAAGATCGTCCCAGAAGCGGAAGACCAAGAGTGGCCACCTCTGCTCAGAACCGATTCATCCGGGTATTTCACCTACGTCACCGATTGGCTACAGCAACGGACACTGCAAGACAGGTGCCATCAGACCAAGCCATCAGAAATCGTCTCAGAGAAGTGGGAATTCGAGCATAACGACCAAACGTTGGACCTGTCCTGGCACGACTACACCACCAACAACGTGTCCAATGGCGCAACGTCTCCTCCTGCAACGACGGAATGGGAGACAACGTGAGAGACAGGTTACACAGTAGGGACATAACTCCATTATGCTTGGTCACATGGAAATGTTTTGCTAAGATTGAGGTCAATATAATTTAAATTCACCAGGAACCAAACTATTACAACACAGGTATCCATATTGAAGCTTTACACGGTCTTGTATAATTAGAAATCATACAAAATTGTGAAATAATACACAATTCCTTTGTTAATTAGTTTGGGTTGGTCAGCCATGTCTAGATCGTCAATGCACATAAACCTATAATTACTGTGTGTTTGGGACACAAAGAGCAGTGGCCTAACACTTACTAATCTCCCAGAGTCGCTCGTCCGGTTTTGACAGCTTGAATGTTATAGTGCTGATAATAATTATGCAGGTTCTGAAAACTATGTGACTTAACTGGATTGAGAATGTAAAAATATAAGATTGTAGAGCATATTTAAAATTGATAAAAACTTGAAGAAACGTATGGTAATTTTGTCACTGTTATACTGCAAACATAATCGGAGCAAACAGGGATCTTTTCGTCCCCAAGTATCAATGTACAAACTACAAACTACAACGTTAGCCTCTAATTCGGCGTGGTGGAAGTGGCTGTACCACCATCACTTTAGAGACATAAGTTTCTACGTACATGAAAGTAATGTTATGATGGAGATATAGGTATCTACGTACATGAAAGTAATGTTATGATGGAGATATAGGTATCTACGTACATGAAAGTAATGTTATGATGGAGATATAGGTATCTACGTAGATGAAAGTAATGTTATGATGGAGATATAGGTATCTACGTACATGAAAGTAATGTTATGATGGAAATATAGGTATCAACTTACATGAAAGTAATGTTATGACGGAGATATATGTATCTACGTACATGAAAGTAATGTTATGATGGAGATATAGGTATCAACTTACATGAAAGTAATGTTATGATTGAGATATAGGTATCAACTTACATGAAAGTAATGTCATGATGGACATATAGGTATCTACGTAGATGAAAGTAATGTTATGATGGAGATATAGGTATCAACGTACATGAAAGTAATGTTATGATGGAGATATAGGTATCAACGTACATGAAAGTAATGTTATGATGGAGATATAGGTATCTACATAGATGAAAGTAATGTTATGATGGAGATATAGGTATCTACGTAGATGAAAGTAATGTTTTGATGGAGATATAGGAATCTTCGTAGATGAAAGTAATGTTATGATTGAGATATAGGTATCTACCTACATGAAAGTAATGTCATGTAAAGAGATATATGTATCTACGTACATGAATGTAATGTCATATATGGATATATAGGTATCCACAGAGATGAAAGTATGTCATATATGGATATATCATTCGTAACTACTCGCCTCTTTCCGTGACCTACAAGAAGACTCGTATCCCTATCGTACCCATTATTACCAAGAATCGTGGCAACCCAATCAAATCGCGCGTAGTAAAACGCATTTCGAAGCATGAAAATGGCGGCACCGTTGAAGTTTTTTGAAACTTCACAAAAGTATGCAAAGCACAATTTAAACATTCACTTTGAGCTAAAGGATCAGAAACTTTAACACTGAAACATATTTACAAATGGAATGACTGTATTGCTGTTTTGCCCACGGGATATAGGATATTCTAGGAGGGGTACGAGACGCCATACGTCTTGCCGGAATGACACGAGTAGTTACGAATGATGGATATATATGTATCTACGTGCATGAAAGTAATGTCATGTATGGAGATATAGGTATCTACATACATGAAAGTAATGTCATATATGGAGATATAGGTATCTACGTAGATGAAAGCAATGTCATATATGGAGATATGGGAATCTACGAACATGAAAGTAATGTCACATGGAGATATATGTGTCCACGTAGATGAAAGTAATGTCATATATGTAGATATAGGTATCTTCGTAGATGAAAATAATGTCATATATGGAGATATAGGTATCCACGTACATGAAAGTAATGTCAAATATGGAGATAAAGGTATCAATGTACATGAAAGTAATGTCACATATGGCGACATATGCGTCCACGTAGATGGAAGTAATGTCATATATGGAAATATAGGTATCCACGTAGATGAAAGTAATGTCATGTATGGATATATATGTATCTACGTACATGAAAGTAATGTCATGTATGGAGATATAGGCATCCACGTGCATGAAAGTAATGTCATGTATGGAGGTATAGGTATCTTCTTACATGAAAGTAATGTCATGTATGGAGATATAGGTATCCACGTGCATGAAAGTAATGTCATACATGGAGATATAGGCATCCACGTAGATAAAAGTAATGTCATGATGGAGATATAGGTATCAATGTACATGAAAGTAATGTCACATATGGCGACATAGGTATCCACGTAGATGGAAGTAATGTCATATATGGAGATATAGGTATCCACGTTGATGAAAGTATTGTCATGATGGAGATATAGGTATATTCGTAGATGAAAGTAACGTCATTTATGGAGATATAGACATCTACGTAGATGATGAACATTTTGAAACTGTGACACTTACACACTTCCAGTGGGATAGAGTAAGCATAATATTACATACAAACCCCGCGTAAATTAATTCCGTTGATCGTTAACTTCCAACCAGCAACATGCGTAAAGGTTCCAACTCGCCGGCAGTATAGGTAAGGCTCAGGCCATGAATAAAGGTTCGGAAAATCAATACTCCGTTAGACTGACTAGCAGGATCTGGTGCTTGCGCTCGCTGACCTGGTTGACACCTGCCGTTGTACTTATTCCAGGTGCGTAGAATGATGTTCATGATGTCAATCACTGGATTGTCTGGTCCACACCCGATTATTTACAGACATCCGCCATGTCGCTGAAAAAACGCTGAATGCGGGGGTAAACAATTAACCAACCGACTAAACAAATAAACACAGATGTACAGAGTAGAATGTTTTAACGAGGATTTACTCTGAATTCCACAACAAAAAATGATATTTCCCCAAATATTCGGCCCGCATACCATGAACACGTTTTTTTGATGTTCTAATATAATATGAAGGAGAATACATTTCACGTTGATTGCCCAATATCCACGACGTGACGCGACATGCGGCCTGTACTATTACTCGTGTCTATATATAGACGTAAACAATAGAGTTACCTCCCTTCATTCCGACGCGATGGCTGAGGAAGTGCCGGTCATAGATTTTGCTGCTTACCGATTGCAGATTACTGACCCTGAATCTGTTCCCGATTCAGATTTGAAGACAGTTGCTGACAGCTTTTATGAAGCTTTGAGTACAGTTGGATTTTGTTACATAAAGAACCACGGATTATCCCAAGACAAGGTAGGTACACTTCCACGACAGAATATCTCGCACATGTCGGGTCGTCTGCAGTCCTACGCTGCAGTACAGCCCTTGTCACTATAGCCACAGAGTTTCATAACACTGGCTGGTACAGGCTGCTGTTGATGACAACTCGCCGTGTTATCAGTTTGAATGTCTGAGGTAGTGATCAAATAATTACTGAATTTTTAGTTTCGTTTTAATCGTGTTTGCTTCAGTAGCCACTATCATGCACTCAAGCCGGAAAAAAAATAGCAAGCGGAACTTCCAGGCGTTCTGGATAGTGGTGTAGCGACTCAGTCGTGTTAACATGTACTGCACGTTATGGGTATGCGTGGCTAGCTTCACGTTATCGAGTAGTTCATAAATACCCATGCTTTAGCTGTGGATTTCCCCTTTAGGCGAGCATTTGTTGAGATGGCCTGGTAGTACTTTTATTAAGGGTATATTAAAAATATTAATCGGTATAAGTCGTTATATTATTGTATGTAAAATTTATCTGCTCATTATACACAAACCACTGATAAAACACCGTACAGTTGGTATATTTCGATAATCTGATTTCGTTGTAAAGCGAATTTCAAAGTCTTCGTACAAAGCGCCTTAACCCTTGCTTTGGTTTATATCAATGGAAATTAATTACACATGAATACTGCCAAAAGTATATCTGTCAGTGTTCCTCTCTGTAGACAATAGACCCCCAGTATCCAATGCATGTAGCTGAACACGACCCAGAAGGCTTGACTATAGCTGAATATACGCGTTTGTGTACTGGGTGAGGGTGTCTAGGGGTGGGTGTTGGGGTGGAATGAATGAACGACGTCAGCATCACTGACCCGGAACGCTTAATACACTCTGGATATTAACAACAGCTGACACACAATGAGGCGGAATGCATGTTCGGAAATCACAAGACCATGTGTGACCGAGTTCCAGCTCAACCTCAACCTTGTGCCGATTCCCCACATGTGCACAACGTGTGAAGCCCATGTCCCCCGCCGTGATATTGCTGGAATATTGAACAGCGGCGTAAAACCATCTTCTATATCTATCATTGTCTCTTCCTTTTCACAGTAATAATGGTTTTGTCACAAGCAAGTACATAGTTATAATGAGCGTCATGTCAGTCTCTATTAATTAAGTATTCGTGCTACCAACTGATATCGTTCCATGTAATACTGATACAAAAACATTTATCTAAACTATTTGCTTCAAGCTGATTGGCCTTTTCGTTCCATTGTTGGTGAAGAGATCTGTACAAAATGACGTCATAATAAAGCTTCGTTACTAATAATAAAGATGACGTCTTCTATTGTTCATGGGAACTCTCCACTCGGAGTATACTCATGTCTGAGTTTAGACTGAGTGCGTGAGTATAGTTTTACGCCGCACTCAGCAATATTCCAGCCATATGGCGGCGGTCTGTATATAATCGAGTCTGGAGCAGACAATCCAGTGATCAACAGCATGAGCATCGATCTACGCATTTAGGATACGATGACATGTGTCAAGTTGTCAACTAAGTCAGCGAGCCTGACCACCCCATCCCGTTAGTCACCTCTTGCGACAAGCAAGGGTTGTTGAAGATCAATTTTACCCCGCAACTTCACGGGTAGTTAGACTGAAACACGACTAACGACAATTGGTTTTCCTGATATGTAACACAATCCTGCGTTGGCATTGAAAATTGCTTTACAAACTTATGCCTGTGTAGGGGAATATCATCTCCATGGGCAAAACTAGCCACAGTCCATCCCTAATACTCGGACAATATCTTGTTTTAAACATCATCCATGGGCGGCTTCACGCCCCTTCGAAGTGATGAATTAGCATTACATCATCTACATATGCTAATTTGCATATCACGTGACCAAACTGTTTTCTTCCTTGTAAACAAACGCGCCTAATTAGAAATGAAAACACTGGCTTCCATACGAGATGTCGCTTGAGTGAGATCCAGCGTATAACGTGGGATATATCAGCATATTGATATTTCATCAGCATTGTGTCGTAATCGGTTGCCTTCTCGCCACACTTAAGACTCATTACTAATCCGTGGGGCAGTTGAGGCTTTTTAACTACTAACTGAAAAGGAACAGAGGAAGTTATTGTGGATGATAAATAGTTTCAGCCTTGTGTCTTTTTATGTCAAAAGTATCAATACATTTCAACAGACCCTTGACACCTCACTGCAAGACTCGGAGTTTCAAGATTGTATGGTTTTGTGTTGATGTATTAGATCTTAAAAGACGCCGGTTCTTCTCTCTCTTTATCAAGAAGAATTAAACTTACACTTTTCCACAATTCGAGTTGTTGCTAAATAGATGATTTGTTGCATTAGGCCGATATTTGCTTGATACGACAGAGTCCTTCGTCCATGGTTAATAAATAGTTTTACACTCACAGGAAGGTTCCTGCACTGAAAGTATCTCAAGAAAATTATGGTATTATGAGCATCAGACACACGACCGTGGTTGGACATGTGTGTGTGCGTGCGTGTGTACGTGCGCGCGCTACACACGTGTTTTCAGTTGTCATGTCATGTTAATGAACTCAGGCAAATATCTCTGTTATTTCTACATGGTGCACGTGTCTTATGTCACAATTAATCATCTACATTACTGAAGTACAAGTTCTCCATCCGCTGATACAATAAGTTAATTGGTGAAGATGAAACTGGTTGACAATGAAATATGCTCTTTTTGTAATGATATGAATGAGAACTTATGCCATGTATATTGGGAATGTGAAGTAAGCAAAACCTTTTGGAATGACCTTCAAAATTGGATCATTCATTGATCATTGGAACTGCAATTGACAAAATTCCTTGTTTGGTTTGGTATTTTAGAAAATGACCCACTATTAAATCATATAAAACTCTCTGCTAAAAGACCCATTTACATTTGCACTCTGAATAAAATGTATCCAAAATTTAGTAATTTCTTAAAGTTTTTAAAAGACACATTCAAAGTTGAAAAATTTATTTCCCAAAGAAAAAATGATTTTGATAAGTTTTCAGAAAAATGGCCTCCATTATTTCCTGTTTTTCAACCTGATGACTTCGGTTAACTTTAACCAAACATGTTAATCAAAAGAAATAATGATTCTGATATATTTTCATAAGAATGATCTACATAGTTCGCTATTTATTTACCTGATGACTTCGTCTAACTTGTGATATTTTACATGTGATAACTGGAGAACCCAGTTGTATCATCAATGTATGCCTGCTTACATATTTCTCTATGCAGTGTATATATTATACCCTGTACACCTGATTGGGGAACACTAAAAAGAAAAAGAAAAGAAAAAAAGTTACAGCAGGTGTCAGGGAGGACAAGTACACATTTGATGTTAATATCGATTGTTGTCAGTTCGTTGTCGTTAGGGTCGAGTGAACATTCACCCCTGGCCTTGTGGCTCTACTGTTTCAGCCGGTGCCATTTTCGAGCGTAGATGATGGCATGACATTATAATTAGGCGCTGTAAGGAGTTTCAGTTAATTATTGATGACTTACAAATTACCTAAATTGTAGATATAAATGTGAAAAAACATTTTTTTTCTATTTCCGACAGTACTATAATAACAAAATAAAGGGGGTAGATTAGGGTTCCCGGCTTCAAATGTTTCTGTCGTTGTTGGGTAACCGAGGGTTTCTTCAGTTACCCACGAGCGTGCTGGTACTGCTACCGAGCTTCACAAGATACTGTGATCCAGTCTGCTAGCCCCATTGTTTGTGATACCAACTCTGATATCGTTTAATGTCAACTACCGCCTGCCTACTCGGATATTTAAACATCAAAGTGTTCATTATCTTAACACGACAGTACAAGTAAGAGGAGATATCACAGTGAAAACAGATCGCACACTCGCAGAAAGTACGCGTGAACCTACTGGAATATCTTTGTTAACTGAAAGCATGACATCAGCATGTTTTCTTATTGACGCCGAGCACCTGTTTGAATTGTACAAATGATGTCACAATCTAGAAGCATGACATTGATGTTCCTATTTCTTTATTCGTCATGATGACTTGTGCAATTGATATGGCAAGCCGTTTTCACATTTAATGCGAAATTACTGATATCTATGTGTTTTAAAGATATCATGAATCATATCAGAGATATCTTAAAATCATTTGAAGATGTCTCGATATCAAACAGGTAATAGTAGTTATTTGCTATAATCCATGATATCCCTAAATGAATTAAGGCTACGAGGAAGCATATTATCTAATATGTTAAGTTAGATTAATGACATAAGAATATATAGGATTTAGGGACCGTTCACAATTTATGGCTGGGGGCGGGGTGGGGGTAGGTGGTGGTGATATCATGGGAAGCATGTACAGTGTGAATGACGCCCCCTAAAATTTATGTACAAAGTAAGTGACACCGCCCTGCATGTCTTGTACAAATCAATGCCCCACCCCCACCACCCACCCCCACCCTTCCCATAATATTTAAGCATAATTTTTTTAACATTTCTGTGTACAAAGTTGCTGAATCCCCAGTACATGTGTACAAAATTGATGACCCCCCTGCCTCCTCAGAACAAAATGGGTGGGGACCCCCCCTTAAAATCATCATCACCCCCTAGCCATAAATTATGAACGGTCCCTATTAGTTATAAACAAATTCATATTTTGGAATTGGAAGAATGTGGTGCCTTATATGGACAGAGACGCGCCCCAAGTCGGGACTGTGTACGTTAACATGATTGGTGTGTTACGTAACGTTAGGGATAATTGATAACTGTATATGTCATTGGTAGATAACAGGACTGGGTTTATCATGGTTGTCATGCTACCAAGATGTGTTCACTCAAGTCTGTGATATTATGGTAGGTTTGAAATTAAGCATTACTTGTGTGCTCTATTTAGATTATATGTCGTATGTTGTCGGTATATACTTTTAGATGATAAGATGAGCTTATTTCTGGGACTAAGAGTAAGTCCAATATTTACCTGATAAAGGAGATAGTGTTACCTTTTAAGGTATGTATAGGTAGAAATTACAATTTGGAATATCTATGACACAGCATTTCGGATTAAATCAATTGAGCAGTCCTGCAAATTTACATTAGTAGTCTTGTTGATGAAGGTACATGTAGTCTTGCAAATGTAACGTGATTTACAAACAGGTTTCCTTGTAGAACTGTCAGAAAATGCGTTCAGAAAATGTTTACTTAACAAATACGCTGCCAATGATCTCGGTGTGTTTTTTGTAGTGAAGACGGAGCACTTTTGGCATGAGTGAGTGAGTGAGTTGAGTTTTACGAGCTTTTAGCAATATTCCTGCAATATCACGGCGGGGAACACCAGAAATGGGTTTCACACATTGTATCCGTGTGGGGAATCAAACCTGTGTCTTCGTGACGAGCGAACGCTTTAACCACTAGGCTACCCCACCGCCCACCATTGGCATGAAAATACCCCCCAAAATAGATATGCCTCTAGCTAGTTTTGTTCAGTATAAAAGACTGTATGTTACGTACGCAGGGCAGTAAATATTGATGTGACTGCAACCTGGTCTTGGTATGTCTAGAAAAAGATGTGTCAACTTATTTGTTTCAGATCGATGACTATTTTAGGGTTTCGAAAACATTCTTCAGTCAGCCGAGGGACGTGAAGGACGCGTGTGAGTCTCCGACTGGTAGATTCAATGGCTACCAAGCACTCGAGAAAGAACGGCAAGTATCGAGCTACGCATAGAAAGATACGTTTAGGCCCATCGAAACGAAAAACACATCAAGCTTTTTGACATGAGCTGTATAAATCTCAGTGTTTCGCATAAAGTGCCAGTAGTTAAATACGCCATTTAGTACATAAGCTTTCTGTTTTACTGAGAATCTTAATGGCGTGCTCCGTCCGTTTAAAACAAAGTTTCCGACCACCGAATAGTCAGTTACTCATCATTCTGAATGCATTCAGTTCACATTGAGTTCACCTGTAATGTCTGGGCAGTGCTTGTAGTATTCTACTGGTCACGTTCATTTGGGTTTGTTTGTTTGTTTCAGACTGACCCCCACGAGACCAGGAGATCTGAAGGAGACCTTTAATTATTCAGCATGTGAGGATCACCTCAATATTGTAAGTACGAACGAAACATGTTGTAAGTACCAACAAAACATGGTGTGCTATACCATGAACAATGGTGTGCTATACCATGAATAATGATGTGTTATACCATGAATGATGTGCTATACCATGAATAATGGTGTGTTATACCATGAATAATGATGTGCTATACCATGAATAATGATGTGTTAGACCATGAACAATGGTGTGTTATACCCATGAACAATGGTGTGTTATACCATGAATAATGATGTGCTATACCATGAATAATGGTGTGTTATACCATGAATAATGGTGTGCTATACCATGAATAAGGATGTGTTATACCATGAATAATGGTGTGTTATACCACGAATAAGGATGCCCTATACCATGAATAATGGTGTGTTATACCATGCATAATGATGTGCTATACCATGAATAATGTTGTGCTATACCATGAATAATGGTATGTAATACCATGAATAATGGTGTGCTATACCATGAATAATGATGTGCTATACCATGAATAATGATGTGCTATAGCATGAACAGTGGTGTGTTATACCAGGAATAATGGTGTGCTATACCATGAACAGTGGTGTGTTATACCAGGAATAATGGTGTGCTATACCATGAATAATGGTGTGCTATACCATGAATGATGTGCTATACGATGAACAATTGTGTTATACCATGAATAATGATGTGCTATAGAATAATGGTGTTATACCATGAATAATGGTGTGTTATACCATGAATACTGATGTGCTATACCATGAATAATGGTGTTATACCATGAATAATGATGTGCTATACCATGAATAAGGGTGTGTTATACCATAAATAATGGTGTGTTATACCATGAATATTGGTGTTATACCATGAACAATGGTGTGCTATACCATGAATAATGGAGTGCTATACCATGAACAATGGTGTGTTATACCATGAATAATGGTGTATTATACCATGAACAATGTTATGTTATAAGATGAATAATGTTGGGTTATACCATGAACAATGCTGTGTTATACCATGTACAATGCTGTGTTCATCACAATATCACTTACTGGTCTGTCTGATTCAGATTCGATTCTTAACAGACCTAAAAAGTTTCCAAACCGATTTCCATGTTTCACCTGCAGATAAACCCAATTGTTTCAGAAATATCCTGACAATGTCCCAGGTATGGAAGCTGCGTTTTCGACCTTCTTCACCTATGTCACGCATCTAGCCCATCGCGTCCTGGATGTCATGTCTCTCTCCCTGGGCCTGCAGGTGGGTAAACACGACTCCCTTGTTTAGTCTATGGTTTTGATAAACAGCTGGTGTTGTTTCGTGACCAGTCAGTGTTCTCTTATCACATGGATGTGGAAGTCTAGGGCTCGCTGTGAACCACTGGGGTTTACCCTGGTCAAAACGTCATGGGTTTGTATACACTACGTACCCATATCCCCCATGAAGACATACAACCACTCTGTGGTCTAGTTCTATTCTAGTTCGAATCAAGGGACGACCGTAGTGCCGTTTTAGGAAGCCCCTTCAGCTCTACCACCGCCTAGGCGCAACATTATGGCCAAAGGTCTAAAACCAACAACATTGTGAAGTCAGTCTTCTAAGATGTGAAGGCCCAAGCGTAATATGATTTGGTTTACAACGTTGGTTTGGAGATGGTAGCGCGAAGAGTTTCTCATTTCCGGTACAAGGAAACCATGTGGCGCTTCGACCAATGAGCGATCATATTACATCAACAGTATGTCTTGTGCATCATGTGCTATAGCATTCCACCCTCAGCGTCATACATTGCGTCAGGCTCGTACAAAGTTCTTACACGGAATAGGGCTTTTCAGACGTCCATGAGTTATTTAAGGCCTAATTCATTACCTTCCCTTGCATAGACACGCGTCACTGCTAAACCATATTGCTGGTGGAAGGATGGATGTGACTTAAGCGTAGTGAAATGTTGATAATGCCGGTTTACAGCCTATATGCACAAAAATATTTTACATTTTAGAAACATTCTTCAGGTTTCTTAAATTTCTGAAAAGGACATGAAAAGGGACTTTTCAAATCCAAGGTTTAATTTGCTTCCAACATTGAGGCATCGTGGAGCTGCTGTATTAGCTAACTTCGGGCATTAATCTTGGAAAGAAATGAAGACTTTCACAATTGTAAACAAGTGGGTCGGGGAATCCCTAAACAAAATAGTGAAAACTCTTGATTGTCATGCTGAATAAGAGGCATGTCTAGTGTTAAGTAAATTAACCAAATAAAGAGTATTGCCCTGTGCCCTAAAGTACATAAAGCCATGGTCTGTTCCAAATATGTCGCTTTGGACTTAGAAAAAAACCGCTTGGCTCATTTCTGCACTAATCTCTCCTCAGTAAAGTCCTTTTTCTACGTTTCCTATCTCCCTAGCACTGAGACTGTAGTTAGGCCGAACTTAGTTTAACAGATATTTCACACTTTCACATATTTATTACATAATTTGTGAAAATAAATGTGAAAAAAAACCAGTTTATTTTCTATTTCCGACAGTACTTTAGTACCCAGGTTCAGTTGAGGCTGTTGAAACTTCTTATCAAGTATCTGTGTCAGTCATTTTCAGGGGTCTTCGTGAGATTAAGGGATGGCCAACGAAACGAAACGGTCATAAAATACGTAGAAAAAAGTGTACATGTTGGACAAGTTAAAACAATTTTCTGTTTTTACCCAAATATCATTTAGAGCTCCAAATTCCAAATACTAGAATAATACATTTGTTAGCAACTGACCTTTGTTATACACAACAATTTATGAATTGAGAAAAAAGACGGTTCCGTGAAATATTTTAACTTATCCCACTTACCGATTTTCCTAAAATTGTGCAGCTGTAGTACGTTTGTTGTGTGAAAGCAAATCCGCCATTTAGTATGTTTTCCCATAAGGTATGGTTTTAGAATCTCATTATATTCTAATATCGTCCTGTAATCTTTTAAATACTTTTTAGTTCATCAAATGACAAAAGCCTTTAACACAACCAAACATTGTGACTCCCACTACTTAAACCTGTGTTCTATAAATAATTGCAGAATTACTGTCGCATTGGCTACAAAGGAACCAAGACTAAAATTCGCAGTGTTTTCAACATTTGTTTTACGATTTTTGTTGTAGCCATTTCCCCTCCCTTATTGTTTTGTCTATCTGTTCAGTAGATACGTTTCACTCTGTTTTTTTCTGACATGCAAATAAGTATGTTTGTTGCTTTGACTGTTTGCTGGTAACCAAAGAATCACTAGCTCTTGCTACCATATTGCTTTGTCTAATCCCGGATGCATGAAATATTGCTAACGTCATGAACCCGTGAAGATCGAGTTAGAATTGATCTTCAGTAACCCTTGCTTGTCGTAGGAGGCGACTAAATCGGGTGGTCAGACTCGCTAACTTGGTTAACAAATGTCATCGTATCCCAATTGCGTAGATCGATGCTCATGCTGTTGATCCCTGGAGTGTCTGGTCCAGACTCTATTATTTACAGACCGCCGCCATATAGCTGGAATATTGCTGAATGCGGAGTAAAGTATACTCACTCACTCATAATGTCGTGACCCACCTTTCACTCACGCCACAAGCAATGACGTTTCTTGATGGTTATATACACAGGCAGGTTTCACACTTGCCAACCACACATCCCAACTCCGCTGTACAGAGTTGCGCCCCTTCTATATTGGTCGCGCGGTTCCGGACTCGCTCATCAAATTGATGATTTGGGTTTACGCACGTGTTTACAGGATAGGTATTATCTCAGAAAGCGGCACCGAAGTCTTGGAGGCAAGAAAAGTCCGGCAACACTGCGGAGCATATACTATCCACCTCTACCTGACGATGGTTGTAAGTACAAAGTGTTACCATTTAGCTCTGGAATACTGTGATCAAGGGAGAAGGGATACCCAGTCGTAAAGGGCGCTGCCAATCTCGTTATAATCAGATCAGGGTGCCGTTGTAGAAAGCCACATTAGCGCTAGGGTGATCGTTATTCCCATACCTTCACATAGACTTATGAATGTCGTAGCACTTAGGTTGCTTAGTTCAAGGGCACCCAGATCGGCCTCCGGTCGTCCAGATCCGATTACTCCGTGGATGGTGGCCACTCATGTACGCCGAGCGAACGCCAGTCCAGACGAAGGAAGCTTGCTTTCCGGCCATTTGGATGTCAGATTACACATAGTGACTAAATAACGTTCAGAACAAGCCGCTGAACTTCGTTTTTCAAGATGCTGAAATCATATATGTAGGTCTGTGTTAATCGGTCACCTGTACAAAAGCCAATGCGCTGATTAACTGTTTAAAAGCTGATTAAAAGTTTACCTGACACAAGCTCCTATGGATGTGTGTCCTCAGATCTTCTTACAGAGTGATATCCAACTGAGTTAAAGATCTGATTTTAAGGTCATTTAGGCGTTGCAACTATCATAGTTTTTCCTAGAGCGCGCTGAAAACGTTAAATCTAAGGTTCAAATCCGGAATGTGTTTATTATATTTCTAGATTTGCCAGTACACGCTTGTACTCTTGTTTGCCAAAAGGGGTAAACATCTAAGATCCACAACCAGCTGACACTTTCTGATAAACTGAAATACACTTCAAAGCAGAGGTTAATCACACTCATTCGTTCCCTGACCCCAAACGGTAAAAACGTTGATGTATTCGAAAGCATCGAAATCGCAACTTTGAATCAGCTTGAGCATTTGCTTTTCTAATCCACGACCATATTGAACTCATGAACTACGTTCTGAATTCCAAACTTATGTTTGTTTTGGTTATTTTCTTGGCAATTCAAACCCACAAACAACACCCTGAGGATGGTATTGTGCCTTGGTATCTGACTGACGAAAGCGCCACATGTTACGGAAGTATTATTGCCCCGCCCCTCGATCCTTCACCACGTGGGTCATACATACTGATGGCGCATCACAGCTGATCGGTGTCTGAAACTTTTACCACCAAGGAACCCCCAGCACCCATACTTGTTCTAGCTGAAACAAAGAGGTGACAATGTGTTACTTAGCTGACAGAGTGGTTGTACTCTGATGGTCAGACGGGTGTTCATGTCAGCAACCAACTGTCCGCCGCCCGACCTCAATCCATACAGGTATTGGCCTCCTCACTCTCTTCTGTTCCCTTCCATTCAGCAATCAAGCATGGGCAACTGCGATGTGGCGAACACACAGACTATGGCACCCTGGCACTGTTGTTCCAAGACAAGATTGGGGGGCTACAGGTAGTTATCTCCTGCACCAGAACTGAAGAATGTCACCTTGTGCACTGATGTTCACATGCCGATCGTCAGTGTGTCAGTAATTCGTTTGTTTACCTTTGAGAACTACCTACAATTACAGGGTTATATTTTTAGCATCACGTTTTCTCTATAATATGAGACCAGTAGCTTAGCCATACTCCAACATTTTGTTTGGAGTGGAACGGGAACTACCACATATGAAAATGTCAGCCAAAATCCCACAATATAATTTGATTATATTTAATTAATTTATAGGCGCATCATAACTGTGTTTGCAAGGCACTTGGCCCAGCAGGTGAGGTGTTTGCAAGTCGACTCCGGCCGGCTACAGTGTGGTATAATTGCTACTGTTTCATCTCCCTCTGGGACATATTGCTATCGTTAATGAATAACTATGAAGATATGTTAAGAATGATTCTTATCAATTTGTTAAATGGTTTTTTCCAACCCTATAACATGCTACAATGTCACTGCATCCTCCTCGACAGATACGGTCTATGGATGGAACCTTCATTTCGGTACCCCCGATAGAGGGAACAGTCGTGGTCAACATTGGCGACCTCATGCAGAGATGGACGGCCGACAAACTCAAGGCGACGGTACGTCAGGGTCATTCTTCCAACAATATTATCATGATCGGTCTACCTTAGGCAGTGACCAACACGGTTGACAAGCAGGTTGCTACAGGTCCTTATCCTACTGTTATGTGACATGCGTGTTCGTGAGAAACACTGCTTCTTAAATCTAAACGTGCTCTCCCATAAACTTTAGGGAATATCCAGCATGTGTGGTGGTTCTTATGTAATGTCTGAGGACAAAATAATTATTTTAGCATTTTGGGACTTGGTTTTATCTCTACAAAAAATCCTTAAACGGACACAATGTTTCAGTTGGAAAGTTGACATGCATAAGCTAGTGAGCGAGTCTGACCACCTAGTCCCGTTAGTTGCCTCTGTACCAATTCTAATCCGGACCTTCACAGGTTCTGAATCAAAAACATGTAAATACATAGGGGCGATTTTAATGTAAATGGAGCAGCGTGTCAGCCTATCTTCAAACGGAAATCGGTGTTTCAGGTCCATCGAGTCGTCATCCCAGAATCGGAGACAATCAAGAAACAATGTCGGCAGTCGGCGGTTCTTTTTGTGGATCCAGATGATGACGTCATCATTGATTGTTTCGATGGCTCTGGGCGATACAGCCCCATTAATTCCCATGACTTTGTAATCGGCAGGATAAAGGCCACGTATGAAGAAGCTTGATTGCATGATATACATGCAAACACTATTTGTTTCTACTGTTGATTTTGATAAGCTTTTTTAATTATCAAATTAATGAATCTGTTAATACATATCCTTGCTTGGAAGTTGTTGAAGTTTTGCTTTATGTGAATATCTTAGAAGAAGTTAAACAGATCGACACACAACGCTGACACACAGCAGAGGAGTCAGAAACAGACATACATTAAATTTTCAATAAACAACAACAAGAAAACGAGGATTGATAATGAAATCATTTGTAAAATAGATATTTAGGTTTCAAGATATTACAGTTATGTTGATAGCAAAATTTATAAATGTGTATTTTACAGAAAATGTTTTCATTCATTTGTCGTAAAAGATTAAAAATATTTATTACGTTTTCAATATTTTTGTGAAACCATGCAATGTTGTTATTATATATATTGGATGAATATGTACAGTCGGGCTCTCATTTTCTTTCATACAAGTGCCACAGAGGATTCTTCATGATAAAGTGAAATCATCCAAAACTGGCTGTTTAGTTCATGTTTTGTAGAAAATATTTGTAGACTTATAATTAAGGTATAAATTGCTGCATCACATTTCAGTGACATCTAAGCCCATCATCTTCATGTTTCCTTATCACTTTTAGACACATTTTGTCCCATTCCATATATATTTTAGCGGATGTTTTATTTTGGTTGTTGATAAATTCCTGTGGTTTATCGGGGGTGTAGAGAATATTGCTAGGGTATATATGTTATCTGTTCAAATGTTCTGATTATTCAGGTCTTGGGAAGATTTTAGTTATTGTGTTTTGTCTTGTCCTGGCGTTAATGAATCAAAGGTCTTTAAAATATGTGATATTTTCAAATACTTCAATACCATTCTGAATGCCAAGTCGGAGTTAACACAGCTGTTGTTTGAAAGTGGATCGAGTGTCAATTAGAGCCCTAAGATTCTGTTGTGCACCATTGATGAAACTCAGGATGGTCTTCCAGTATCTTCAGACAAGACAATGACAGGTACTTTTGACACTAACAGGGTGTTATTGATTTACAGGCTACCGGAATCCACTTGTAGAAGGTTCGAATTCTCTCTGAGTATGTTCCATGAATTTTCAGAATTCAAGATTTAAACTCCTAGGACATGCTTGACTGTGAACCTGTTCAGCAGGTGCGTTGTGAAGCAGCTGAAATACTGTACGATTGAACTCATCCTGGTTTGAAATACTAAGCTTGGAGACATTGTTAGAATTCTGCATGTCAAAACATAATTACTGTGGAATCCTATACTCAGATCTGATCTGAACAAAACCTATAAACCGTAAGATAATGTAAGTGCTATGTTGATTAATGATAGACCATTCAATATGAGGGTGTCGTGGCAAGGACGTTTATTTAGACATCTTATTCCTTTGTCAAACGTTTCTCAGTCAAAGAGAGAGTCAAACATAGTTTTAGGGGACCCACACCATCTTGTTCTTTAGAATAATCAGCCAGTTCAATTAATGAATTTGTTTATTGTAAATCCCGAAGAGAATTAGTTTTCAAACATTTACGGAAGCAGATTCTTTTTCTTTGTGTGAGGCGCCAAAGATATTGTCAGCGCGTTGTATGTCCAACCTAAAAGACCCAGAAAACTTTCCAATCCGAGATTCTTTCTTATCGGGAGGAACTTTAATTGTTTTGTCAAGTTAGTTTTCATGGTTTGAGGAGAAATAGCCTGTTATCCTGGTTCGTGTCTCTGGGTTTCATCAAAGGTTGTGATATGCCTGAACCCTAAACGCTGAACAAACAGCTTGTGAATGTAACAAATATACCATGACAAAGATTGTTTGTTTGGTTTTTTTATCCATTTGTGTTCAAATATATAGACAGAGTTTTAAGACTACGCTCCACAGCAATAATGTGTGCGACAAATGTTAGACAAATACGTTGGAGATCAGAATTATTTGGGGGGATATTTTTAGTCTTCACAACACAAAATGTACCCCGAAATATTCAGAATGCATACCTACGACACAGTATGACAATATTAACAGGCTATCGGTTAGTGTATCACTTATGTCGATTATTCGGAATCGCATTTGAAGTGTGCATTTCAGCATATTATTGTGTTTTTTGTTTAAAGCTTGAAACTCACCAGTGTGCGTCCTCTATGTGAGTTAACACTCGGATCCCAAAATTCGATTTGCTATAAACGATGCAGGCTTAAACATATTGCATGTGTGAGTGTCAGTTTTGCCGGAAGTGCATGTACACGTGTTTGACGTAGAATGATCCGTTGTTGTAATACAGGCATTGAGACAACACATACGCACACGCAAAACGCACATGGACATACATTGTATGTGCAAGCAAGTGTGTTACTCGTTCAGGAGCATAATCATGACTAATGTTATTGTCGTAATGTCTGTTACGTATTCGTAATAGAGCACCTTAGTATTTCCTCTCTGATCCTGATCATGTTGGTACAAAGGGCGGTATATATAGTGTGAGGTGGCGGATACAAGAGTGACCGGAAGACCTAACATTTAACATTCAGATATACAACTGTTTGGTACAATTAAAAAACGCTATGAATTTCATTATAGTTTTGTCTTTGGTATATACAATTGTCGTATTACTTTTCACATATCTGGTTTATTATTGACCGCGAGTTGATTTAGTTAAAGGTGAAGTTAGGGGCCTTTTTGAATCCACTGTACGAACCCCGGCCTCGTCATACCAGAAAGCGTTAAAAGATTGTTTTGTTTTCTCCTTGCCTGCGTTCGTCATTACAAGGGAAAAAACAAGAGCTGGTCGGCTCGGAGTCAGTAGGCTGTGTCTGTTTTGTTGATATGAAACTGCACCTTCAGTCCGACATCATCTAATGCTTCGACTATTGCAAACTGACACATATGCGCGCACGCCCGCATGCATTCACGCACACAAGTGTGCATCCACCTGTAATAATCTTGAACGCCACGTTAAAGCCCATGCGATCTCGCTTCACCTTCGTAAACATGAAAGTTTTGGAATTGGCCGAATACGGATGTGCAGTTAAAATGAATGAAAATTTTAAGGTTTAAAACCTAAAATGAAAGTCTTATGATGAGAGAGTTCGTGCCCCAAAATACATTTTTACCATATGGTTGTACTGTTTATTATCATACTCTGTGAACATCAGTCGATGCTTGTTCTTGGTCAAATGTTAGAAAAGGGTATCTATAATACTACTTACACCATCTGTTATCAGTGAGTGAGTGAGTTTAGTTTTACGCCGCACTCAGCAATATTCCAGCCATATGGCGGCGGTCTGTAAATAATCGAGTCTGGACCAGAAAATCTAGTGATCAACAGCATGATCATCGTTCTACGCAATTGGGAACCGATGATATGTGTCAACCAAGTCAGCGAGCCTGACCACCCTATCCCGTTAGTTGCCTCTTACGACAAGCATGGGTTACTGAAGATCAATTCTAACCGGGGATCTTCACGGGTCCATCTGTTATGACACCCGGTATACTTACCTAATATTTAGACCTGTAATATTGTTAATTGAAGCGTAATAACATGAAATTGTTCAAATTAACAAGTTATAGTACTCCTGCATCTGAACACATCTGACTTTCAGAACCATTTCTCCCTGTGAGTAGTTGTCCTTTTTATCACCTTCTAAACGACGTTCTACGCTTGTCGCTTATGAGAACCAGGATCTTGTATTAATAAGATTGCCAACAAGTCATGAGAATTTTGAAGGACGACTAAATTAACTGTTACTTGTTTTACTAAGGTTTTTGAAACTATGATTTAAATTTGGAACATGTAAATGATACATTGCTATCAAATATGGCAACTCCATGTAAAGGTCCTAATCATGAATATAATCGAGCATTAAGTTTTACAATGAAATGTCATATTTAATAAGATTTTAATTCAGAATAATTATGACGTATATAGTAAAGGTTCTGAAAATTAGTTCTTTGGTGGTGAAGCTTGGATGTGGTTCTAAAATAATATTGAAAGATTTTTGAAGCATTTAAAGAATCATTTGGTTTTAGTCGTCAGTCATTTGCACCCACAAGCGTTTAACATGACCTTTTGTGGTGTATGACAGGTTTATTTAACAGTTTATAGGGTGTGGGATATCCACGACTTTGTCTTATTGATCTAGTATGATAAACAGCGTATAGATGAATATGTATATGTACATATTAATCAGAAATATGTTTCAGTGTGATCACTTTAGAGAGTGATGTATTTATTTTGTTGCCAGCTTCTCAGGCTTGTTGTGTTATGTACTTCCCCTTAGATATGTGGAAGGAAATGCTGAACAAGGTTCCCACTGTAAGTGCTCCAGTACAATGTTAGTACAATGTTAGTACAATGTTAGTACAATGCTAATCAGCAATAAACTACAATGCAGTTTACCGGAGTGGTTGTAGTTTGTATCAGTCATGGCTGGTACTACAAGTGTGGAAGGTACTGGGTCTTGTAGTACCACGCCGGGTCGTCCCAGTGTTAGCAGTTCGTAGCAGTTCTGATTTGAAAGTCAAGATAACTCGGAGTAGCATACATTGGTGTCCTTAGTCTCCAAGAACCATTGTATCCCATTGCTTTGTTCGCGGTGTCTTGTCCACCAATGGTACACTACAGAATTAAGCATACCTGTGTGAACAACCTTGTTTTAGTTGTATGTGACGCTGTTACACCTGCCAAGCAAGGCTGGGAATGCAGGCCTGAAATGTTTCTTAGCAACCTACTCAAAATGTCAACGCCAGGGATTACATGCCGAAATAGAAGTCATTCGGAGTAAAAAGCAGAATAGTGATAGAAGTGACATGAACGGATCGCCTAGTCCTGCTCCCTGTGTAACATTTGCCACTCATATTTTTCTTTCAATTATTTAATTACTATTGCCTGACGTTGTATGGCAGACATTTTTCAGTGTATGTAGTAACGTATTCATTAAGTATGTTTAAAGGGAGATAACTGAAATCTGACTTTGAAACGGATCTCCTTGATCTATTGTCCTCAACCATTATTCTTGATTCCTTTTTCCACATTACAATTTGCAGTTGTTAACCAAATTTAACACATACGTGTCATTGTCTGTTTAAAGATTTGGGGGTATTTTTAAACCAAGGGGTCAATCCTATTCAACTTCATTCTTCTTAAAGGAGTGTGAATGTGATATTCAGATTTGCTCGTGTCCATGTCATGCCCCACGTGTGTCACAACAGCCAGGTATGTTAAAGTTACAATAAGATACCACATGTCTGCATTATTCACACTCGAGGTATTCTTGATGTCTACTTTCGACCAGCCATGAAACATCTGTAAAGGCATACAAGTACACAAGCTGGAAGGTCAGGGTAATTACGTACTGTATCGTGTTACTATTGGATGCTCCTCTTTTTGTTCGGAATCATCTCAAGATTGGGTTATCATCTCAAAGCATCAAACTTATTAAAGTCAGATTTCAATTCTCGTCGATAAACATATATCTAAACAACCTTTCTGCGAACTTTGACCTATGTATACGTCATATGTTTATACATGTATACTGTATACGGTACAGACCTACATAGTTCTAAACTGGCGACATTAATTTGAGACAACACTTTCAAAAATCAAAATTTGAAAACTGATAAAAGAAACATTTGTTAATGTTTGATAGATGGCCTGGGTTATATAGTACCACTAACCTCGGTAATGTGATGTCTCTTCCGTACAAATGTGTATCTCAGTGAAAGCGAGAGAGACGATGATTTTGAAGGAATCGGTAGTACTGTCCGTAACTGTCGTTGGATTATCCCGTGTTAACCTTTCCGAGGCTGCGTGATCAGGAAACACATTCCGACTGTCAGCTTCCTGGTCCGGTGAGCGACGTTCTGATTGGTCGGTTCTGACGTGACTGGTAATGGATGTCATCACATTGTTAAGCGGTAGCGAGAACCAAGATCTGATTGTAGTGAGATCATGATGACATAAGCCATCAAGGAATCATTACTACTAAAAGACCCATCACTTATTCGTGCTTGTAACCACGGTATTGTAATGGTATTCTTATTGAAACTGTTACTTTCCGCAGATATTTGGGAGTTATTTCCACACCCGAGCGTTTTTGGAGCAAGGTTCCAATATTTACGGCATCACAAACAGTGTTAAAGAAGAGAAGGGAATATATACATATAATTATGCAATACCCATCCTTTGGTGACACATGGGGCACTTCTCGCTACCAAAGAGACTGTTCGGTATGTAAATATCTTTCAGTAACGTAAGACAACTTGTAAAAGAACATTCATTTTATTTGTGTGTCACTGTGGCCGTTGCACGCGCGCGCGTGCGGATTGGAGGTGGTGTAAAGAGTAATCTACTGAACACAACTAAACTCTTTACTCTTACGTTTCACTGTTAAGACAAAAAGATGGGCTTTCCATCACTGCCAGCTCTCTGTAATGGGCATACATTTTGACAATAGTTATAGACAAATGTATATATATATATATTATATATATATCTTGCCTCACACATAAATGTCGTTTTCTGATTGGCCGAGCGCTCTTCTGTTATTTTCAATGTACCCCGCTTAAAAGCGAGTAACATTTTCTATGTACCCGCTGGGAATGCCGAACTCATTTGGTACTTCGTAGTAGTAAGTCTTTATCTCGAATAACATTGAATCGCGTATGATGTACGGAAATTACCAATGTTTTGCGAATGCAAATCGATGGAAGGGAGATAACTCTAAATTTGTTTTTCTTGTCGTCTGGTACTCCATACTATATTATCCGATACGGATATCTCCTAATTGACAGACACCCAATTGACAGACACTGAACTAGAAGGTTAATTAGGGTAACACCTACGGGTATAATGGAACAGTCCACTGTCTAGTTAGTAGAGCAGGGTGAGCCTGAAACAGGTTCGTTACTGAGAAGTTTGATTGTGGGTAAATAGAACTTTGTTGTGATTAATTGATAAATGATTTCTCTTCTCAAAATTGATTTTACTATCAATTACTATCGAATATAAAAACAGGTTTGTCACTGAGAGGTTTCATTGTGTTTATTGATAGAATAGCCCCCTCCCAAAAATAGCATATGTACAACAGAAGTTAACTGAGAAAACGTTTTTTTGGAGAGATATAGATATGTACATATTTGCAAACATTCTGATTTGCAGTAAATGAGACACCTGCATTGCCATGTAAGATGAGAGTAATACCAAGCAGTGTTCTAATTTTAACAATACTTTCTAAAGATTGTAACAGTTTATGTCTTTGAGTAGTATACAATGGACATTCAAGGAAGTAATGAAAAACATTCTCACATCCATGGCCACATTGACATGATGCGTCATATTTTAGATATTTATTCTAAATAAATCGTAATTATGTGCACTCGTCATATTTCTTAATATTATGTGCAAAACATATAACTTGTTTATTCCATATGAATAATATTTAGGTTCACATTTGTCTGTATTTCATCTATACGATACAACAGTGTCGCAATTTCTAATAGCTAAGCTAATGTTTTCAATATGATGATGCTGACTCCCGTTAGACTAAAAGGTTAAACCGAAATATTTATGAAAA